ATTCTCTCACCCATCTTCCTCTTCCACTTCACCTACCTGCTCCTGATCTTTAAAGACTTACCTTAAATTTTACCTCCACAAAGTTTTCCCCTTCGGGCTAAATTTAGATGTCTCTACTTCATTCTTATGATGTCTGATTATTAGAATTCTTACCTTAAACACTAAAGTATTATCTTGAGGACAAGAATATCTGGACAGAGTTTGTATTTGCCATAAGCACAGGACCTGCTACAGACAAGATAAGGGCTCCGTAAATATCTGTTGAATGAGTGAAGAAATAAGTGAATGAATGGATGGTTAAATGCACGCTTGTCCCTAGAGATTCTCAGGACCCTTCCCTCAGCAGCTCTGATCTCTGTAATGATCTGACCTCATACGAGTGGTGATAACCGGGCTTCACTCCCCACCACAGCACCTCAGGAAGTGTGCCCCCTTGCAGTCCTGTGGGAACTCAGAGTATTTTTGAAGCAATATTTATGGAGGGCAGTTAGGTTTGTATTCCTTTATAATCACAGCAATATAGAGAATATCATAACCCTAAATTCACAACACTGTTTTCTTTGTGTGGCTAGTATATTCTAAAATTTTTTTAACTGGAGTGTAAATTCATGAAATTTAACTTGCATGTATCTGTGTACCTGTGTTTGTGTAAGAGTATGTGTAAATTAGGGACTACCTACAACATCAGTAGGTAAACTTAATATGTTTTGGTTTTAGAGGAAGAGATTTCTTTATTTTTACAACTTTTTTTTTAATTTAGGGCAAACAACTTACCTGTAAAATTTTAGGTTGGCATATTTTAATATAAATATATTTCCCATATCTTTTAATGAATTTGGAGGCTCATTGCAAGGTAAATTGTTAGTATAATAATTCAGTAATTTATTACCCAACATACCTGAGTTATGTGCCATTTGTGATCACAAATAAGTATTTAGTACCTTGTTAAAAAATTAAATCTCTTAGATTTAGATCTAAATGATCTTTTTTCATAGGTTTATTAAGAACTTTGCCAGTAGAGGGCTCTTCATACCATATTTTAGTTAATTTAAAGGTGTGATAATGATAATATGTTAAAATTATAGGTAGTGGGTAATATTGTCTTCCCAATTTATATATCTTACAAAATTTTTAGAAAAGCCTAATTTAAATTTTACACACTTATGGGAAATGTTTTTTTCTAATAATCACTTTCAGAAATATTTTAGTGATCTAAAAGGTATCTTTGAAATTTGTGAGGTTCTTTGTCTTTAAGATACTCTAAACAGATACAGGATTTAACATAAATAGGAGTATATATAATAGATGTAAAACATTTACTAAGTGGTACCTTCTATAAGAAATTCAATATGATCATTATTTTCAATGAGCTAATAACACTCTTGTGGAGGAGGGAGTAACAGTTGCCATATATTCTTACATGTGCAACAAGAGAGATGATGGATGGGAGTTAAGACATAAAATCTAATCCAAAAGAAAAATGTTTTGAGTGAATAGAATGGAATTCTCTGATGAGGTAAAATTTGATCTAAATATTTTGATAGGCTTGGAGGAGTTTAGATGAGAAGGAAATTATTCTGGTTATGGGGGAAAGTAGCACAGGTTTGGAAACCACTGACCTACAGATGGTATTAAAGCCATAGGAACAAACTCAGCAAACTCACGATAATTACTCTTAGCTTTTAGACAAAGTGAAGCAAATGACACTATATTTTCAAAATCCATCATTAATTGCTGATGAAGAACCAATTCCAACCACTTATTCTGAAGTTCTAAATTTATATCGTTTTTGATGAGAAAATTGGATTTCAGATCCATAAATTTTCTTTGTATAGATATTCTTTTGAGGGACAACAGAATTCTAGACATTCTATCAAATGTGTATTCAGTGCTGATGTTTTGCAGATGTGTAGTATCAAGATCCTCTACTTCACTGATAACCATTGATATCAATCTCCTATGTTCTTTTCAAGTAATTTCATGATTTTTGTGGCTTTTGATTGGGTTAGTTATGTTTTTACATTTAAATCTGTTATCCATCTGGAATTCATTTTAGTGTAAAGTGAGAAGAATCCAAATTTATTTTATTTCAGAGCTTAGCCAACTGTCTCAAAACACCATATGAACCTGGGCTTTTCCTATTGTTCCAAAATGCCAAATGCTAAATTCCCAAGTGGATCATGAGATCTGTTTCTGGAATCTCTATTCTGTTTCCACTGATCTGATTCATGATCAGAGTGTTTCATATTAAATTCAAATTGCATATATATTTTTAAAAATTTCCATGTTACAGTATCTGCACATTTATCAAGTTGCAATGAAAACTCCTTTGCTAGTGTTCTATGAAGTTCTTCCCATATTATAAGTCAATTCCTGTATCTTTTAAGCCGAGGTCTCATTGAAAAGCTGATAAATTCCTATTGTTGCATGTAATGGTATTGTGGTTATCAAGGGGAAAGTTTTATTGAGAAACCTAAATTCTTAGCTTTCCTGCAAGGTAAGAAACCAATTTGGTCTAAACTCTGAAGAATTCTCAACTTTTTGAATTATAAATTGGAAAACCTGACTTGCTTATTGGCCTCATATCTTTGCTATTTTTAATGATCATTATATATGTGATATTATATATATATAATGATATAATCATTAATGATCATAATGATAAGAAGGAGATGCAACTGGCTTTTTAATGGTAGATAATGTCCAAGGCCACCTAGATGTCCATGGACACCTCAGATTCAACATATCCACAATTGAATTCATTACATTTCCCCCAAACCTGTCCTTCCTCCTTGTTTTTTCCTGATAATCCCATCACCATCCACCTTATTACCTAAGCCAGACACCCAGAAATCCGTCTTCACCTGTCCCTTGCCTTCTATATTGAGTTACTATCCAAGTTATGTTGATTCTGTCTCTGTGGCCTCTCTCCTACATGCTCCTTCTAATGACCCTGATTACTTCTACTTTTATTTAGGCCCTGATCCTCTCACTCTTCACTAAACACTCCATTCATCAGCTGACCACTAGAATAGTCTCTCCAAATGCAAATTTCTTCATGTCACTTTCCTACTAAGTCTTGTGTGGGCTCTCTTTTACCCATAGGAGAAATTCTTACCTTTAGAGTGGCATCCAGTGCTCGCTTCGGCAGCACATATACTAAAATAGAGTGGCATCTAAACTCTACATTCTGGGCTCTGCATCTTTCCAGCTTCAGATCTTACACCCACTTAACATGTCTCACCCCGGCCTCACCTGACTATTTAGGGTGCTTGAAACTCTGTTTTGCTTCATGCCTTTCTGCCTTCACTCACATTTGGAATTCTCTCCCACCATTTTTCAGGAAGACTTAATTATCTTTCAAGATTTAGTTCAAATTTGGGGCACCTGAGTAGCTTAGTCGGTTAAGCGTCCGACTTCGGCTCAGGTCATGATCTCACAGTTCGTGGGTTCGAGCCCCGCGTTGGGCTCTGTGCTGACAGCTAGCTCGGAGCCTGGAGCCTGCTTCACATTCTGTGTCTCCCTCTCTCTCTGACCCTCCCCTCTTCACACTGTCTCTCTCTCTCTCAGAAATAAATAAAACATTAAAAAAATTAAAAAAAAAAGATTTAGTTCAAATTTTACCACCTTTGGGTAGCATTTCCCGTCTTCACCCACCCAAGGAATATTTTCCCCACAGAATGAACTGTTCTTCCCTTGTACTCCTATTGTGGACCCCCTGACTTTTTACTACAGCACTCACAAAACTGTATTATAACCTGCTTTCCTTAATAGACTGGGAGCTCCTCGAGTCAGCGACCTTGTCTTTTTTTGTTATTTACTCCTAGTATCTGGCAAAGCCTGTACAATTTAGGCACTCTATTAAAATCCTTTGAAGGGTGAGTTAGTAAATGAGAAGTTTCAGAGGAGCAGTGGAAAGGGTTGGCAGAGAGTTGCAACAGTGTTAAAACTGGTCAAGAGGAAGACACAGAGCAATGCAGTGACAAGAATAAGGGAAAGAATTTACTAAGGGGGACTTGGCTGTGTATGATGGTTGAGGATGAGAGACATGATGGCATTAACTAGCTTTAAGCTTCTGACTAGAATTTGGGTACAAGGTTTTTCTATTGCTCTAGAAGTACAGATGGCATTTGGGGTCAAATTAAGTTTGCTGGATACCATCCAGTTTGCAAATATTAACAAACACATACCTTTTTTTTTTTTTACAATAACAGCACTGCATTTTTCTAGCACTTTACTGGGTACAAAATCCTTTACTTCTATTATTTTATTTGACTCTTAGAACAGTTGGTTTCCTAAGCTTCAGTTTCCTTTTTTGTAAAACGAGGGTGATACCATCTCGGAGGGTTGTTTACAAGATGTACTGTGTGTCTGGCACACAGTTAAGTAACAGGTACATTGTTAGAGCAGGGATTTGAGGCCCCAAATGGTTAAGTGTCTTGCTCACGGTTGCAAAAGTAAGTTCGTGGCAGATTTAGATATACAATCCAGATCCGAGGCCCTCCTCTTGTAATGTTCGTTTCACTACCCCGTATAGTATCTTTTATATTATTTGGTGCATGATGTCTTTAATTCCATTGAGTGGCTTACCCAAAAGCAGGCTTTGGAATTACTCTATCAGAGAACAGATTGCCAAGATGAAGCAAAATCTAAAACTCAAAAATAAAATCAAATATACAATCAAAATACAAATATAAATAAAACCTCATAGCTTGCATTGCTTCCCAGTTTATTTTCTACCTGAGGGCTGTCAGCAGAAAATCTGAGCAGGCCGGCCCCTGCCCTCGTGATGGCCTATGGAGATGTGCTCCCATTTTAACTGATTTTTAATTTATTGTTTTTTAAGTCGTTTTTATGGCCGAGCAAGTGTCAGATTAGGGCCCTAGAATTAAGGGAGCAGGCATCTGAAGTGGGAACTGGAGCCAAAATAGGGTGAAGAGTGAATCTGGGCTGGAGCAGCCACTCACAGTCCTACCCGTCTGTCCCTGTGTCCTCTGTAGAGTTCTGTCCAGGAAGAATCTGAAGCCACAAAATGTGAACTGGAGACGAAATTACTAAGTGAGACAGTTTTTGCAGGTAATCTTCTAAATCCTATTTTCAGAATTTAACTTTATTGGGATTTGTCTGCTTACAAGAGAAATGCGGGGTCGTTACAAAAAAAAATTCAGATGTTACAGAAATCTGTTTGAAGTGAAACTTCTTCGTAAAACCCCTCTTCTAAAATAACCAAGATAAACAAAAATTTCTCCTGTTTGTTTTCATTCTCTCTATAGCTCTCTTCTGATTTATGATGAAACCATGAAATGCCGTACAAATGTTTGAAAATTACCTTTTTATCAATATTTGTTATGTTACGGAACATATTTTACATCCATACAAAGAACATAATACCTATTCTTCTTATGTGAATAATATTCAACACTATCCTAAGTCAGAACACATTAATAACCTTGCTTTTTAGTAGCTGTAGAATTCCATCCAGCAATGGAATGCTATTTAAATCTTTACCGATAGTAAAGTTATTTCTAATTCTTTATGATTACAAACAGTGTTGCAATGAATATTCACAAACACACACATACAACCATAAATTGTTCAATCCTTCTGTATTAAATCCTACCTTGGAAAATAGCAATTGGAGATAGTTTAAAAATATCAAAATGATAGTGATATGTAATTTGCAAATATTTTAGTTTGAGATTTATGTACATCACTTCCCAGTAACTTCTAAGGAATTCATTTTTGATAGGTTTCTTTGCATATTTTCTTTTTTTTTTTAACATATATATATATTTTAATGACTTTATTTTTTTCTTTTAATTTTTCTAATGTTTTTATTTATTTCTGAGAGAGAGAGAGGCAGAGTGAGCAGGGGAGGGTCAGAGAGAGGGGGAGACACAGAATCCGAAGCAGGTTCCAGGCTCTGAGCTAGCTGTCAGCACAGAGCCTGATGTGAGGCTCAAACCCACAAACTGTGAGATAATGACCTGAGCTGAAGTCAGATGCTTAACCTACTGAGCCGCCCCTCTTTGCATATTTTTCATAACAAGCTTCTTGTCTACTTCTTCACCTTTTGCAACACACTTTGTCAGCAGCCAACTAGCTTTATATCTTTATAACTTTTCTATAACCCTGAGGAGGTAATTTTCCTGTTAGAGATAGGATACTATAGTCAATTCATGAATATATGTTAATAATATATATCATAAATGTTTAAATTTGGATACAGTATTCTTTCTTTCTTTCTAGATAAATGGATAATTAATTAGATACTTTGAAAATTTAAAGTCTGCATTTTATTGAAGGTACAGAAGGGGAAAAGAGCCATTGCTTAAGTGGAATTTTCTTTTAATTGTCATTAATTACCAGTGCCTGATCTCCATAGATTAAATTCAGTGACTTCTCAGTGTGCTTCCTTTTATGGGAGAGGAAAATTGTAATGATAAATAATAAGACTAACAGTTTCTAAGTTTTACTGTGTGTCTGGCACCAGTTCTAAACTTTTTACATGTATTAACTCACAACTCCCCCCAATTCAATAAGATAGACGCTAACATCTCTTTTGTAGAGGAAGGGAAGAAAAGACATGTTAATTAGCATATCTTGCATAAGCTAGTAAAGGGTGGAACCTATAAATGATCTGATTTCCCTTTCTTATTGATTGTACCACATGGAAAGATTCTGGGTAGCAGGTGGGAATGGTCCTAGTGATATGTGACTTAAAATATTCCCTTGATTGTGCACTGAGAATTATGGAATGATAGAATTTCCCCATAAAAAGTCTAAACAGAGGGATTAGCCAATTTAGTTTTTTTCACTTTTAAACCTCTGTCCCTTATTTTTGTTGGAAAAAAATTAGCCTTAATATATGCACCAAAATTTATTTTTTTAGCATTTTATTTTCTTTCAGATTTTTAGTGCCTTAATGTCCAATTTTTAGACATTAATTTATCAGTTTCAAATTATTGTGTTAAGCCATTTTTGATATAATGAAGGTAGCAGAGTATGCCACCCCACAATCTGTCATTGGCATAAGGATATTTTGAGTTGAGAGCAACTGAAAAGATGAAGATGCAAGGAAAGCTTCTTACCCTCACCCTATCTGCCTAAAACCGAGACATAAATTTTCAAAGGTGTCCCTTCTTCCCTCTCTTCCAGGAAGGACAGTGGTTAATCTCCAGAGACCCTTTCAGACCCTATCAGCCTGGAGAGGGGACCAGAGAAATCTACATAACAGACTTTACTAACTAGTCTTTTTTCTTTGTCCTCAGAAACCTAAAACTGCTTTCCTTTATCTTGTCGTTTCTCCACAAATGTGTTGTTCTTGGTTGCAGATGCTCTCTAAGCCAGAGTTCTGAGCCCCCTCTCTGGGTTACTGATGTTTCCCTGGGTATCTCCCATGTCCACAGGAGGTATACATAATATGTGATGAATGGGTTTTTTTCCTCTTGTCAATCTGTCTTTTATTCTAGGGATTTCAGCTGAGATCTCAGAAGAGTAGAGGGAAAATTATTTTTCCTCCTCTACAATACATATTTAAAGTTATTTTAATAGTAACCCATGCTTATTATATACAAATTCTTAAAATGTTGGTATATAAAATACGAATGGAGCCCTCCCCTGTAGCCTACCATTATACATGCCTAGTCCCACTTTGAAAGTTAGCTTTGTGAACAGTTTTGAATTAAACACTTTCTGAAGTTTTAGTAGCTAAAGAAAAACTTTGTTTCCAGCATCAGAATTTTTTCCTTTCTCTCCTAATACCAAAATGTTATGATCTATTTCGACACTGAATTAATCTGGTTAATTTTAGCACAGTTGTTGCTGATAGAGAATGCTAATGAAAAGCCATGTTTCTTTGGAGACAATGAGGTTGATTTATGCCAATTCACAACCCTGGGTGGAGTGTACCATTTGGATATCTTCGAGCTTCCACCACAGTGCAAACCAATGAAAGGCTGGATAATTGTGGAAGTAGGTTGATTTTTGAATCAAATTTATGCGTAAAATAATCTCTCATACTTTTTTCTCAAATGATCTAACAGCTAATGAACTTTAACCCTATTAAGCAAGCATAAAGGAGAAAAACTAATTTTAAACTGTCTTGAATTTATAAAATTTGAGTCAGATACTAAAGGAAAGGATTCTAGATTAGTGCAAATTTTAAAACTATAAATCATACATGTTGATTGTAAACCTATAGCACTATGTTTAGATTGTGCCAGTTTGGTCTTAATAATGATAGTCTATTTTAAGATGCTGGCAAACTTTTTCTGTAAAGGGCCAAGTGGTAAACATTTTCAGCTTTGTGGGCATGCCAGCTCTGTTGCTACTCTCAGTGCTGCCATTGTAAGGAGAAGAAGCCATATGTAATCATTTAATTTTACTTACACATACTGGTGGTGGACCAGAATTTTTAGGGGCCATATAGTTTGTGTACTCTGATCTAGACCAGTGGTTTCCAACATGTGCCCTTGACCAGAAGCATTAGCATCATCTGGGAACTTACTAGAAATGCAAATGCATGGGCCCCCATTTTAATCTTCCTGAATCAGAAAGTCTGGAGGTGAGGCTTGGTAGTCTGTTTTAGCAAAACACACCTTGAAGTTTGAGAACCACTGGTCTGGATCCTTGATGTATAAAGTGTGGTCCATGAACAGCAGCATCAGCATCACCTAGAAACTTGTTAGAAATGCATAATTTGGTGCTTTGCCTCAGACCTACTGCATCTGCATTTTAAGAAGACCCTCAGGTGATTCATATGCCCATTTAAGGGTAAGAAGCACAGATCCAGGTGATGCCAATGGTGCTGATGCACGTCCCACACTTTTAGTAAGGATGCTAATGACAGCAATTGTTAGATCATTTTTGAAGGAGTTTCTCACTCCTGTTTCAATGAATACTAACATTTGCCTTGGTATTGACTTGGTTTGTTTTAACTTTACTTCATGGTGGCTTGTTTCCCAGATAACCCTGTTATATTGTCATAGCCCCTTCCGCCTTCCCTCCTTGCTCTCCAGCCTTTCTGTTCTTTCCCCTGCCTCCCTCATCCCCTTCACTCTCTTTTTCCCTGTCTGTCTACCTCTTTCTCTCTCTCTCCTCTAGCACATCATGTACAGAGACTGCCAGGCATTTCTCACACACAGCCCTACCCATTAAGGACCTTGATGCATTCTCATATTAGAGTGGTATTTCTCAGCTTTGTTTTTTTCCATTATCACCCCCCTAAAGAGCCTTTGTAGACATTTTTTTCCTAACCACCCCTGCCCACAAAATTGTAATACCACGGGTATACAACATATTTGTGTACGTATCATACATGTTCTTCACCTAAAAGAGTATGATTTTTTTCATGCCTCCAAACTAATTTTCAACCCCTTTGGGGTGATATTGCTATTACTTTCCCGTTCTCCCCACAAATGAAAATGCATTTTTTAGACCATGCCTGGGGGAGATAATCTGGTCTGTAGCCACTTTGAAGAATCTATTTGAATCAAATTTTCCTACCTCAGGAATACTTGAAGGACAATGAGGCAGGGGTCCAAGAAAGACATCGCTTTGGTGAAGATAGGCCTTCAAAACTCTCTAGCTAGGGCGACTCCATGGCTCAGTCGGTTAGGCGTCCAACTCTATTTCGGCTCAGGTCATGATCTCATGGTTTGTGAGTTTAAGCCCTGAGTCGGGGCTCTGTACTGACAGCATAGAGCCTGCTTGGGATTCTCTCTCTCCCTTTCTCTGCCTTGCCCCCACATGGACATGCTGTCTCTCAAACATAAAAAACAAAACAAAACAAAACAAAAACAAACAAACAAAAAAAACCCTCTTTATCTGTGGAAAGATCCCAGCCAGAGTTGGGATTTCCAAGAATTTATTCAAAGATCTGTTCCTGCATTTTGTTGATGTCCTGATACCACCATTCCACATTGTCTACTTGAGTCCAGAATATCCTCTGTTATACTTGTTTTTCTCTCCAGCAACAAAGAGGTCTTTTGCTTTTGTTCAAGTCTATTCTCAGAAATCTCCCACCATGTCTAGAATTTTTACCCATCCAGTTTTTTCCTCTACTTTGTGCCATTCTTAATCTTCCCACCCCTTCTTCCCTAGATCTTTCTCTGCTACATTCAAATAATGGACAAATCTCCTTCATCCCAGAGAAATCTGCTGTTGGCTTAATTTACTCTCTCTCCCTAGCTTTATTGAGATCTAATTGACATATGACATTGTATAAGTTTAAGGTATACCTACCTGATTTTTAATTTACTTTTATCCATTCATTTTTACACTTCCCAAAATTTGCTTATACTCCTCTCTCTCTCCACCTACACACCCTAACCAATGTATTAGAATATGGGACTGGGGGTCCTATAGCTCTGTTTCTGAGTTGTGGCACCTCCTTGAAGTCATTTTGTAATCTTTGGCAAATTATGTGATTTCTCTAAGTCTTCCCTGTCAAATATGTTTTATAGAATTACTTGGAGGATTAAAATGATGAGTAAGTCCCAGGATAGAACCTGGCACAGGTTAAATTCTATAATTCAAATTTAGTGATTTTCTTTTCCCCTCAATCATTATCTTTTAACTTTGTTGTGACTTTTTGTTAATCTGTAGTTAAATGAGATCAACCTTCAGTGCTTATTAAGAATAACTATATAGGGCCACCTGGGTGGCTCAGCTTGTTAAGTATGTGACTTCAGCTCAGGTCATGATCTCATGGTTTGTGAGTTCGAGCCCTGTGATGGGCTCTGTGCTGACTGCTCAGAGCCCACAGCCTGCTTTAGATTCTGTTTCCCTCTCTCTCTCTCTCTCTCTCTCTCTGTCCCTCCCCCGCTTGTACTCTGTCTCTGTCTCTCAAAAATAAATATTAAAAAATAACTATATAGCTTGTTCAGCAACATTTACATCTTTGCTACTAGTCAGCTTCTAACTTGATGTTATTTTTGGTCATTTTTAAAAGCTACTCAAAGAAGGGCTGCAGAAATATATATATCCTCCAGAAAGTACAGAAGACTTTGAAACAGAAAATGCTTTCCCACCCATCGAGGTCACACTTGAGGTCCAGGAGGATGTAATCTTTTTTGAGGATCCTATGGTTGCAAGGTGGGATGCTGAAGGTACAGCAATACCTTAATCAGCTTTGATAATTATGTCATGAAAACAGGTATAACACGGGTCCTTAAAACAGAAAATACAGTGTCTAAACTCCCAGTTTCTAATCTTACACATTTCTGTGGCAATTCTAGGGTCTTTGTTTGCTCTTGATGGAAATGAATAGGTATTGGAGTTTATTTATTGAGTTCGTTCCTGAAGTGTTAACTGCCATAATTTCTGAACAGTTACTTATGGTTATGTAATTATGTTTAAAAAAATAACAAAAATATCAAAATAGTATAACATCAAAAATAAATGAAAAACCTACTCTCTCTTAAAATGACTAAATCAGATTAGGGTGATTAAAATTTAATGTTAATAATCTATAAATTACATATCTTATGCAAATAAGTATTGGAGATGGGGAGTTGGCCATTGGGAAATCTGAGACAGAGGAAAACTAGCCCTTTATGCCTCTTTATAACTTTTGATTGTCGAACCACGGGAAATTATTGCTTATTCAAAATATGAAATAAATATCAAGAAAATCAGAAGTACCAGCAGAATACAAGCTGATGATTCACTAATCAACCCCTCGTTTGGAGTTGGCTGACTAAACTTTGAAAGGTCTTGGTCTTGTGAATTAATGTATGCAGGTTTGTGGCTGCTGGAAGAAAGGTATATAGCTTTACTTTTAGCGTGAGTTATTTTACATTCATCTATTTGTGGAACGATTTACTTGGTGGCAGGTTGGGAACAGATAAGATCACAAGGTACAGAGCTATTACTTAATATATTTATGCAGTTAGAGGAGCAGAGCATTTAAGAATTTCTCTGCCAAGAAGGATAAATATTAAGTAGTTTAAACCTTTTTATGATTGCTACGGTAATCCACATTTTGGTTGTGTAGACATAGCCACAAGGTATTTATATTCTAGATATAGCTTATGTATTAAAAACAGTATGTCTGTCATACATTAAATTATAAAACACGTCAAAATGAATAGATAATTTTTTCCTCCATGTTGCTTTAGAAGTTTCACTTTTCCTTTCCTTTAATGGTAATATTCTTAAATATTTATGACATTAAAAACTATTCACACTAAATTAGAATTAGGCAAGTTATCGCACGTGATTCAGAGAAATCAAATGTGTAAAATTTGACTTTGCACTAATTAGCAGCAATATACAACTCCGATAATTCTTCCCATGGGGGGACTTCTTCCAGGAAATACCACAAATATGGGGAGTTTATCTATAGGTCATACTTAATTTTTGCCTTTACAAATTAATTTGGATACTGTAAAAACAGAAATAATTAGGAATAACTTAGTTTATCAATATAATTGTATTTGACATATTGAATTTAACAGAAATAGTGAATTGAACCCTCCCTGTGAGGAGAAAGCCGTGTGGAGATGGAGAGGGCATTCTAGGAAGGGAATGACTCCTGTATTCCATAATTACCCTACACAAGAAGAAATATAGAATAAATGAGACCTAGTTCCTTCCTCTAGAAGTTTTCAAAGTTGAAGGAGAGGCAGACAAGGCCAAGCCACAAAGGCCAAGCCACAAATCCGATGCAGTGAGGTGCTATCATAGACAAACGTGTTCTGGAGCAGAAGAGTGGGTCCACCTGGAGCATTAAGGAAGGCTCCTCATGGTGTGGGATCTTGAACTGGGCCTTGAGAGAGTAAGAGGATCCTGGCATGCAAGTGTTTGTGTGGATGTCGGCGTTCCTTTTTATTGAGTATATACCTAGGGAATGAATAATGAATTGCTGGGTTGATGGCAAATTGGCTTAACTTTTTAAGAAACTGTCCAATTGTTTTTCAGAGTAACTTGTACCAGTTTACATGCCTGCCAGCATTATATGAGGTTTCCCACTTTTCATACCCTTGCCAACATTTGTGATTATTTATCTTTCTGATTCTAGTCATTCTAGTGACTACGAAGTGGTATTTCAGGGATTTAATTTGTATTTCCCTAATAACAGTGTTGAGCATCTTTTTTTATGTGTTTATTATCCTTTAATAGATCTTGTTTGGTGAAATGTTTATTCAGATCTTTTGCCCATTTTTAAATTGGGTTCTGTTTTATTATTGTAAGAGATACAAAGGACTACCTATCATCTGATTGTATTTATATGAAAAGTCCAGAAAGGCAAATCTTTAGCGATGGGAAGTCTATTAACTTCCTGTGGCTGGAGGTGAGAATGGGAGTAATTAACTATAAAATGGACATCAAATATCTTTTGGGGAGGATAACGGTGTTCTAAACTGGATTGTGGTAATGGTTGCACAACTGGGTGAGTTTACTAAAAATAATTGTATACTTAACACAAGTGAGTTTTAAAGTTTTTTTTTTTTTTTTTAAGTACTCAGAAAGATTAAGTACTCTAGGAAAGTAGAACTGCATGTGCAGAGAGGCTCAGAGGTATGTGGGAAAGGGGGAAAAAAGTGTAGCTAAAAACAAGTGTAGGAAGTACAAGGGATGAAGCGAGAAACATGGGTCTTCATTCTGAAGGCCTTACAGACCATGCTGAGGAGTTTGGACTTGATCCCTGTAGACACAAAGAAACTCCCAGCCAAGTTGGCTTTTTGTAGAGATCCTATTCTAAATGTAAAAGATTTATATTCACTTGCAGTTAGTTGGGTGATTTCACGTATGTTATTTTTGGATAGAAAAAATGAAACTGTTACTTTCTTATTGTGAAGGTAAACATTGGCAGACTGATGGCATCAGCAATGTCTCTTACAAATCAGAAGAAAGACTTATAACATTCAGCCTAGAAACCTTTAGCCCTGTTACCTTGATTCAAGATGCTCATATTAACATGCCATTTCAGTCATGGGAACTAAGACCACTGGATGTGAATAAAGTACTTTTGACTGTGACTACTGTATTTACTGAGATTGAAATACAAATTAAGGTAAGTCACAGTTACAGTAAGTCATATGAAAGAGGCAAGCCTCTCTGATGACAGTATGTTGAAGTAATCAATCGTTGGTGATTTACATATTGAAATGTCTTTTATAAATAATATATTTAAAATATACTTTGATTTAAAAACCATAGTTTTTTAACCTTTTCCCTAATGTTTAAAGTTTATTTATTTTGAGAGAGAAGGAAAGCAGAAAGAGAGGGCATGTGGGGGAGGGGCAGAGAGGAAGAGAGAGAATCCCAAGCAGGCTCTGCACTGCCAGCATGGAGCTGGTCGCAGGGCTCGAACCCATGACTTGAGCTGAAATCAAGAGTCAGATGCTTAATGGACTGAGCCACCTATATGCCCCGAGCCATAATTTCTAAATGAAAAAGAAAATCTAAATAGTAATTGGTTTGGTAATAACCTGTAATAGAGGGAATTTTGTACCCCGACGTTAGTAGAAATAGACCAAGTAATGAAGCTACCAGCCTGGCTGCAGTAGGACTTCCAGAGAGTCTTTGTTCCCCTCGCAAGAGGCTTCCTCCTTAAAACCAGAAGAGAGATGTGAACTCTGTACCCTTTCAAATTACCACTTTACAGACTTTAAAACCACACAATTCTGTATTCTTATGTTAAATCTTCCGTGTTAAAAAAAAGTATCCTTAAAAGTTGCACTAGTGTGAGTCAATATGACCATCATCCATGTTCTTAGATCATAACTTGTAAAATGGGAGGAGACCTGAGACCTCTTTAGTCCCTTGATTGTTCAAATAAAGCCCCAAAAGACTGATGGTGTGAGTAACAAGGGGACTTTGTGGCAGAGCTCAGAGCTGGCTTAAAACATAGCTGCCCTGCATCCTTTTTAATACAGAATGATACAGGGCTAAAAAACACATAAAGAACCTCAAGGCTGGAAATGGAATAACAGAGTAATAACTTACTTATATAAAAGCTTCTTTCTTATTAATATTAGGAAAACCTCTGCATGTTAGCATCAATCAAGCTAGATAACAAAAAGCATTCCTCTATTTTGGAAGGAAGATGGATGACTCCCATTTCTTTTATTCTTGCTTTGAAAGAAACTGGATTGAATATCTTCCCTACTAGACACTCTCATTTTTATGTTGTTATAAATAATAAGGTAAGAACGAATCTTTCCAAATTTAATGTAATGGACATTTAGAATGTTAGCAAGTTAAATTTTATGTAAATCTTAAGGTACAGTACAGGATTATAGTTAGAAAGGAGGGTTTCATGGCAAGACCAGAAACCCAGAGCTGTCTCAAGTTTAATAATCTTTCCCAAGAGTGTAAACTGGTAGTATGATCTTGATCACAAATGGAGTCCTGTCCGCAGCTGGTCAGTTCTGCATTTTGTATGTTTTCTTCCTTCTTCCAGGCTGGGTATATGTAAGACTTCTTAAAAGAGTAAATGACTCAACAGTTACCCAAACATGACAAATCAGGCAAAATTAAACACACTGATGTACAGAACCCACTTCCTTCTGCTGCTTGGCAGAGGCTCCCCGTCTGCATACTGCTTCATGTTACCTGTTAGGCTTTCATTAAATAAGCTCCTTCCGTGTTACACTGTATGCTCCTTGGGGCTGGGAACTGCTTTACCATCACCTAGCATTCTTCTAGCACCTAGCATACTCCTTGAATCAGTAGTTGTTTAATAAATGGGATATGTAAATGAAGACAAAGGAGGTTCTAATCAGGGAAGCTGTTTTGGGCAAAAGGGTTCTATATTCAAGAACAGGTTTGTAATATAACAACATTTCAAAATAATGGGGAGTACAGTGTACATATGTGTAAGAAAAAAGACCACCTTGGTTTTACTCAGTATCCAATTACTCCACAAATGCTGAATGTAGTGTCCTATTCATTGCAGAGTATTCAAGAATTTTTTTTCTGAACATTTATATTTTAGGCATTGTCATAGATGCTTAGGATCCGTTAATGAATAAAACAAAGGTCTCTGCCCTTGTTGAGCATACATTCTAGCAGAGGAAGGCAGAAATGAGCAGCTTGCTTTTTATGTTTATAGTTTAGTATGTCAAAAGGTGCTAAGTGTTACGGAGAAAAAAAAGTGCCGATCAGGAATCATGGGGCTAGGATGGCATACAGTATCGAACAGGGTGTTGGGGGGGGGGACGCTCAATGAGAAGGTGAGATCTAAGCACAACTTGAAAGTAAGGAATTTAGCCAAGTGGAGCTGAGAAAGCAAAGGGAGAAGAAAAGGAGATGATAGGTAGCAGGGTGTACCGGGGCGGGGGGGGGGGGGGGAACGTCAGACCCCTTGTCTGTCATTGCTTGGACTTTGGCTTCTCTCCTGAGAGAAGGGCAACACCATTGCCTCGTCTTGACCGAGCGATCATATAATCTGACTTGCATTTTAAGTGGATTTTTCTGTGCTGAGAAGCGACTGATGGGAGAGAGGCTTGTTGTGAAGCTCTGTGATCAATTCTGTGTGTTTTTATATTGACAGGATCCCTTGGTAGAAATGAAAGCTTATCGACAACTGGCCCTGCTAAGTTCTGCTTTTGCCTTTGGTTGGAGCAAGTGGAATGTAGTATGTAGTTCAAAAAATGTTATAGTGAAGGTAAAGTATGCAAAAACCCACAAAACTACTTTGTCCTCCAAAGCCAACTGAATGTAGGCCACAGTTTCTCCTCTTGAAAAAGTGAAAAAAATTAATTTTTTTGGACATTTACATCCAAAGTAGTTTTAAAACTTTTGTTTATTTCATCAAAAATATAAAGCTGAACTCATTGCCCAGTATGGTATCAAACCCTAGTAATTCACACTAATGTCCTTCTATCTCTTGACATCAACACAAGAACAAATGGAAGCTTTTAATGTGAATGTATCTGATTCACAAACTTTTTCCTCAGAGAGGGGTAGGCCTCCAGTTTAACTTTCTGGCACATTTACTGCCTGCTATAAAAGGTATCTTATCAAATTCTAAAAGCTGACGAATAGTTTTAGCAACAGCGAGCCACCATATTTACTTGTGTATTGTGTGTTTCTCCTGCTTGAGGTTAGGGTTTATTGTTGCAATTGCTCCTTAATTGTTTCATTGTTGTTATATCCCCAGCACCTAGAACAGTACCTGGCACATGGTGCTTCCTCAACATTATCTCTGTCAAATGAATTCATTTTGATAAGCTCTATAAACACATGGTTTAAGAAATAGGACACTAAGAATGTTTTACATTAGGACTTTTGGGGACCGAGTTCAAAGTTCAAATTACACTCTGCTAAAATACCTAATAGAAGAATGATTAATGGAGGTCTCTAATTTTCTTTTTCTTTAGCTGAGGGAACACGTTTCTGAAGAAGAGCTTGTTCAGGATTTTAACTGGCCCCTGTTAATGTTTAGTGGTGACAGAGCGCAGAGGCTCAACATCAACGAAAACAGTGAAACATTCTCTGAAGCCCTTAAAGAAGAAACCGAGTTTCATTCTACTTTATACCACATGGTTAAGGATTTTGCTTCCAAAGAAGCAATGGAGAAAATTAGAAGCTCCAAATGCCAGTTTATTGATTCCGTATGTTATATGCTACTCTCAACTAGAGTACTCAGCTATTCTTAATCCCCAGTGATAAATTTTGTTCAGTATGAAGAATCAAGGAACTTGGAGAAAATATCAGATTATTTCTTCAATAAAATGTAGTAAGTGAATATATTTCAAGTAGGTTATTAAAATCTAGTAAGCATTTTATACTCAAAATTTTTTTTAAAAGTGGGGTTATACGTGGCCTACTGAGACTCAGTTTTCACTGTAAGATTTTAATGGTTCTTTATTTCAATAAATTTTGACAAACAACATATAAGATCTCAAAAAGCTCATTAAAAGATCATAGGTGGGCTTCCTCCCCATTACATTTTAGTTGGGGGGGGGGTGGAAATCACAGAAAGAGGGAATGTAAAATATCTGACTGACAGTCCTTCTGAGACCCTCTGGCTCTATGCTGTAACTTCCCAGATAAAAATTACTAAAGTTCAGATACTGAAACTTTAAAAATGAAGACACACACAGTGAGATGTGCCCTAGTCACACTGGCGGTGGTCCGTTGTGTTGGAGTTTAGTAAGTTGCCACAAGATTTGTTCTAGAGACACCCAGGAGTCCCCATCCGGTGTGGGAGCAGCATCCACAGACTTCTGGAAAAATCGTCCTGTGAGGAAGCTCATCAAAGCTGCAAAGAGTACAATGAATGCAACAGAAAGCCAGAGTGCCTTATTAGCCTTTCTGATGGAAGTCTTGAGACTTGCTGCCCAGGAAGCTATTGTGTCATAACTATAAGAAAAACACAAATTCAGAATTCGATAATAGCAACAATCTGTTATTACAAACACTCCTTTGCCAGCAATACCAATCAGTTCATTGATCTGCCCTGTATACCACCAACACTGCCTTGTGATAAGCTACCTAAATGGGACCTGCTGTTTCGATTTGCATCACAATTTGCACCCCATCCCCAATAATTTTTAGAATTAGAGAAATGATTTAGAGTTAAGAAGTGCTACGGTGATGAAATTAGGTGGCTCAGGCATTATTTAACAAGAACATTTGAGTATTTATCTCCTCCTTTCAACCAAGTGAGGCACCTTCTACTCCTACAGTAGAAATAAAAATGTTATTTGTAGGGTAGAACGTGATATGTGTGTGTATACATACATATCACACCCTGGACTTTTGCTATATTGACACTTAAACGATTTTTAGAAACACCCACAAGAAAAGCTTATTATAACATCATGTCTCTGAAAATAGTTAATTGTGTTAGACACTTAGTGTCTTACATGTGCTAGTTATTTAATAACAAAACAATGCCACAGGTGCTACCATTATCATTCCTACCTTCTAGATGAAGTGGTGTTCGAAAATGAACAAACTTGCCTGGGCCCTCCGACTCCAGTGCCAAGTTCCTAACACTGTGACCTCGCACACATTCAGGGATAATTGCTGTAGGCCATGGAGGTGTGCTTTTTATCTTAAATTTAACAATCTGACAAGTCTTTTAGTGCTTTGACTAAAACTAATCCTGTTAACCCTGCCTTGTCTTTCCCCATTCCACAAAAAACAGTATCATGAGCAAGCAGACAACTTACGTTGAAGAGCCATCCCATTTTGATGGATTGTTTCTGTTTTCAGAAAGACTTGGCTTTCTTGTCCTTTCTACTATTTCTTCTCCAGGTGGTTCTGAGTCATCTTTACTTCTGTAAATAAGTATTTTTGAATATTTGAAACTATGGATAATATACCAGATTATTTATAAAATATTGCTAGATTGTATTACTAAAGAGGCTCACAGATGTTTTGCTTTAGAAAAATACATATCTAATTCTGAAATTCAAGTCACTGAATTTATGTTTTTAACCATTTATAGGAATTTAATTTTTACAACTTGCTTTATTTAGGAAAATGTTTGTTATAGAAAGTTGGGATACTATCCAAAGGACAAGTCAAAAGGAGAAATTTAGAAAGAACATGCAGAAGTTAGTTATCACCACTCATAATTAACCAGTGTTATTAATCTGGGATTTCTTTCCCTGTTTGTGTATGTGCAATCATACTTATAAAAATGTGAATATATCTTCCTCTTTTTTTATTCAATATATAGTAAAATATCTTCTCCTTCTACCACATAATCTCTGAACAGTGGATTTTATGCTAAACTGGAGACACATCAAAATGTCATTTCTTTAAAAATCTTAATTTTAAAAATGTTTATATAAATATGTTCAGTACAAAGCTAGCTACAATTAATATTTAATGAGCTGGGAAATAGCAGTTGGATTGAAAGTATTTCAAATAAAATCCAGTGTACAGAGGAGTTCCTTTAGCCTGAACAAGACTTGTTTTATTATCATGTTCATTAAGAGGTTACCAGTTAGATTTGAATTTTGAAATTCCAAGCTCATTAGGCCCTCACTGTTGCCAAAGGGAACTGTTCCTCAAAGTTGGATTTATTTTTTCTTTTCTACAGGGAATATATGGAAATGGTTTTAGTGTTTAAAGGAAACAAGGCCCAAATGCTTGAATTCTTGTTAAGTTTCTCAAGATTTCAGTTTTTGTTTTGCAAAGACTTCTCAGTAGAAGTCATACCATACTAACAAAAAGCAAAAAGTAGATTGTAATCTTTTGGAGAAAATTTGATTTTTTTCATCCACATAAGAAAAATCCATTATATTAGCTCTAAATCTGAAAAGAATTTTCAACACATGGAATAGACTCCCAGGATTATTTAAAAAACAAAAAAACTGAGGGTAGGCACTATGTCTTACTCTATACCCCTTAGGCTTGAATGTAGTATCTACAACATAGTAGGCAGGCAACGAACATGTATAAGAAGAACATACAACCATTCAGTCAGATCTCTCAGCTGAAGAAACTGAGACCAACTAAGGTTAAAACAATTTGTCCAATGTCACCCAAGGACTTAGAGGCATTGTTTCTCCATGCCCCTCCTCCTCTGCCATCTACCTTTTGCTGTAGAAGATTTAATTTAACTTGCTAAACAAACATATAGCAATAGAGCATTTTACGTTTCCCCTACGGTTCATTTACACATAAAGGGAAGATAGATGTATATATAATACACATAATACACATATATTACATATGTGCCTATATGCTATATATACATAATGTTATAATATATGATTCATGTTTTGTTTGGTTTTTTAATCTGAGTAGATGGGACACTACTTCTGTGGCTCTGTACTGACCTTTTTCTCACATGGCCAGATACCTATACAGGAAAAAAATAATCACACTTCTGGCAAATTTAAGGGTCTTTTGTAACTCAAGACCTCAAACCTTGGGTACTACAAGAGTGAATGTATTTGCAAGTAACACATAATGGTCTACCGTTTATAAAAGGCTTAATTATCTTTTTGATGATGCAGCATTAATCTCATTTCCACAGAGTAAAAGTGATCCCCACTGTTTCCCAGCTCATGTCAGGTTAATAAATACACCAAGCTTCACCTACTTTAGTTCACATTTTTCTTCTTCAGCATCTGCCCAGGAATAGGTGCTAATAAATCGATGTAATGAGGGACGGTGTTCACTCTGCTTTGACCCCAAAATACGCCTAAATAAAGATGATTATAGCCACTTGTCAAATTAAATATATCTGTAGCCATTATCAATTTATTCTCTACTACCTAAATCAATACAAAAATTATAAGTTCTGTTTTTGTCGGCATATTCACATTATGCTTCATAATAAAACTTCATGGTTATACACCTGTGTTTATAATTATCTTGCATATACTGTGTAATTCAAATGTTACTCTCTTACTTATTGCAAATATTTACTTCAGTCAATTATAAAACAGGAGGGTTCCAAAGAGCAGCCATAAAAGTACACTTACCAGCTGCTTGACCTCCTGCCGAATCGGTCATTTTCCATCCCAGCCACCTTTAAAGTTCAGAAATAATTTAAAAAAGAATGAAATGTCAATTTAGTGAAGTTTATGTTTTTTTCATATGAAAATTAATTTGCTTTTGACTAAGAACACTTAAGAATTTGCTTACCATTCCTGCATTTCCAATATTTCTGGGCAAAGAGGCAATGGTCACTCTCCGAAGAGAAGATGGCTACCCAAAGAGGGCAAAAGCACATTTAGAAAATTATCGGTATTTTATCATTGTATAAACACTAATGGATATCCTTGTTCATACACGTCACTGCTGAGTAGACATTTTGTTATGGCTAAATTGCCTTGCAGAAATAATCTACCTATTTATATTCTACCTCCTCCCAACACCCGAGGAGTAGAATTTTTGCCAAATAAGGTTTTTTGCTTGGCTTTCTGGTAACATTGAACACTTTTTTTTTATGTTGAGTAACCTTGTATATATCTACTCTGAAAACTTTATGATTTTTGCCCATATTGTTAATGATATTTCTGGCAGAAATTTTTATGCGTAGGTTTTCCCCAACCCAAGAGGAGATAAATATATACCTATTTTCTAGCTTTTTTGTCCCCACGGTTTTTTTCCATTTAACACATGTAAAGATGGGCATATTTTGATAAATTGATATGTTTATATATCAGCATTGAGATTTGCACAGGAAAATGTGATATAGCACTATGTGGTTCTTAAAGTTTAAGTACAACTTCAGGAAATAAAAATATAATATTAAATGTAGGAGATAGACCAAAGAGGCTTAAAGTGAATCCTTTCCTTTAACCGCCATTCCTAATTTAATTATATAGATTAGTTGAGTGTCAAGAATATAAAATCGCAGTCCAAGAAAATTGGGTTCTCACCATGGTTCTGCCGCTGCATGATCATCACTAATCACTTAACTTCTGTGAAAGTGATTTTCCTCATTTGTGAAAGAGATTCAGATGGAATGATTTTAAAGTCTCTTGCTCAAAAATTCTGTGAAATTTTGATTTTCAAACTGGCAAAAACTGCTGGCTGACTTTCAAGATCCCATTTTCCCCTTTTTTATTTGTTAAACAAAAAAACTCCTTAATTTTTTAGTTAGGCACAAAGCCTCCAGAATAAAAAACAGATTTTCCAGCCTCATTTTCAACCAAGAATGAAACGGGAAATATTGTCTGGGGTTTCTAGGAATTGTCATGAGAGAGAAAGGGAACATCCGCTTTTGCTTCTTCCTATTTCTTGGAATGTGACTCCATGTATTGACCAGGACCTGGGGCCCCTGAACCAATGAAGCCAA